AGTACAGAGGGAGGGCTTGGTTGTGTTTGCTAATTGTTGATGGTGTCTTAGTTCCCTAGTGCTATTATGTTGGAAATACCACAAGGGGGTGGCTTTAACCAACAGAATTTTTTTTCTCACTGTTTAGGAAGCTGGAAGTCTGTATTCAGGGTACCAGCTCTAGGCGAAGGTCCATGTCTCTTAGTGCCTGTTCCTGGTTCCTTGGCGATCACCATGTGGCAACTATGGTCCCCCATTTGTGCGTCTTGTGCGTATTCTGCTCTTTTATATTTCAAAGGAGAGTGACTAACTTAATGCCTTCATAACAGGTGGTACCTATAAGTACCTACTTACATTTTCAGCTGCTGGGCTTTCTTGAGAGGCTTCTTTACCCTGCTAGCAACTGGGGTAAGGAGCTCTGGTAGCACAATGACTAAGGCATCTGACTGCTAAATAGAAGGTTGGTGGTTCAAACTTACCAGCCCTCTCCGGAAGCAAGACTGGGCAATCTACTTCTGTAAGGCTTTACCACCTTGGGGTTCTACGAAATGGAATCCACTTGATGGCAGTGGATTTTTTTTTTTTTTTTCCTCTTTAGCATTGGGGTGGGGACTTACGTAACTGTAAAACTGAAGGAAGTTCAGTGGCAACACTACTTTATTGAGAGGTTACTGTATGAGGCAGTGCATCTTGCAGGAGTGATTGTGTAAAGCTTTTGTGTCTTGAGACATCTGCACAGCAAGTTAATGCTTGTAAGTATATTTGTTATTTCCTGTGTGTTATTTGGAAGTTAGGTGCTTGGGGTTAGGTAATAGGCAAGTAAATATTTTTTTTCTATGTCTCATCCCACCTATCCTACCACCAGTGCCCAATGGGATATATGTGTCCCATATAATATTTATCAAAATTCCATCATACCTGGAAAAAAACTAGATGTGCATCAGTGGAGGAATGGATCGACAAACGATGGTAAGTACACACAGCGGATGACTATGCAATGTTAAAGAACCATGATGAATCTGCAAAACATTTCATAATGTGGATGAACTTAGAGCCCATTATGCTGAATGAAGCCAGTCAGTCATCAAAGGACAAATACTGTAAGAGACCAACTGTTATAAAAAGTCAAGAAAAGGGTTTCACGCAAAACAATATTATTTGATGGTTACCGAGGATGGGTGGGGAAGGGAGGGTACACCACTAACTGGAATGTGACATGTATTAACTTGGGCAGAGGGAAAGGTAAAGATACATAGATATAGATAGGAGCTCTGGTGGC